GAACTTGGTGTTGTCAGCACCATGCTCTCCCAAGTGAGCTAACCAGCCGTCCCTATATAGGGATCCGAACCCTTGGCCTTGATGTTATCAGCACCACACTCTCCCAAGTGAGCCATGAGCTGGCCCCTGAATCATTATTTTATCTACCACAAAAAATGCTTTTGATTTGAATTGTTAGATATGTCTTAATTTCACAAATGTTAAAATATGGCAAAAATACTTATAGATCTTATCTAATCGTGTTAAAATACACATAACATGCAATTTACCATTTGGGGCTGGCCAGTTAGCTCATTTGGTGAGAGAGCACAGTGTTGTAATGCCAAGGGCAAGGGTTTGGATTTCCGTACCCACCAGCCGCCAAAACAAACAAACAAACAAAAACACCTTACCATATTAACTGTTCTTAAGTTGCATAGTTCAGTAGTGTTAAGTACATTCACAAAGTGTACAACCAGTCTAGCAAAACAAAAGACATCTTTCCATCTTTTAAAATCAAATCACTTCTTTTTTTTTTTAAAGATGACTGGTAAGGGGATCTTAACCCTTGACTTGGTGCTGTCAGTACCACGCTCACCCAGTGAGCTAACTAGCCATCCCTATATGGGATCCGAACCCGGGGCCTTGGTGTTATCAGCACCACACTCTCCCAAGTGAGCCACGGGCAGGCCCAAAAATCAAATCACTTTTTGATAACAGATGGAATTCCAGTCATCCTAACCAGTTTCTAAGCAGCAGAATTGAGGAAGTAGGAAAGAAGGAACACACCTTTCTCTTTGAGGACACTCCTGAAATTACACACATCACTTTTTCTTGCATCTCATTGGACAGGACTTAGTTACCAGCCTATGTAGCTACAAGGGAAATAGTCTTTTTTCCAAACAGCCATCGGCTAGCTAAAAATTGAGAATTCTGTTCTGTATATCATCTATAAAGCTTGAATAATATAGGTCAGATCTTTTAGTTTCCTTTTTAGGACTTGGTAATTTTAATTTAAGCAGCAGGGGTCTCTGCTGAGCAAGTATTTATTTCTCTTCTGTCTGGCCTTTCCACCCAGATTCTGGCTTTAAAGCCTCTTGAAATGGTTTCTTGGGTCTTGTTTGTGTGCTAAGCATTTAAATTAAATATATTGTTTTAGTAAACTAATTCCCAGTCTATGCCAAACAGATTTAAAAACTGACCAGAAAGGCTAAGAAAATATATATATATATGCTTCTTAATATTCAGGAACTCTGTTAGATGATGTAATTCCAGTTTGACACAGTAGTTTCAAAGTTATAATTCTCTGCTATGTAATTTATATAAAAACAATTACAGTTTTATACAAGTCAGTAGTCTATGCTAAAGTATGACATACCAATTCATTTAGCTTTTTAAAAATCTGAATATTTAAGAGTGTCCTACCTCTAGAGGACCTCGTTGCTGCAATATTTGCTTGTTTAGGCAATGTTTTCTTTCCTTGAAACAGAAAGGAGAGAACAATCTAGTTGCTCCCATGTTTTACCCCTGACTTCTTATAATTGTTTGTGGATAAATTATGAAAATACGTTATGATATAAAACCAGATTACCTAAGAATGTCAAAAGTTTGAAGTTACTTCCTCAACAATTATTATATTTAAAATCCTTCATAAATTTATTGTGATTCATTATAGCCTTGATCTAAGTTGTCTCACACCGTTTATATTTTTGCATAGAATTTGGATACCTAGAATTTGGATTCAGCTGAAGTAGTAAAAAATCTAAAACAGATATCTTCTATTGCTTCTGTGAAACATTTGTTTTACATATAATAGCGTGAACAAGAGCAGAAACTATTTGGGTTTCCTAGAAAACATCTAATGTTATTGTGTGTCTACCTCTAGGATTATTTTCTATGCGTCATTACTATGTCACTTCAGGTGGTAAAACATTCTGGTTGTTTGTTAGAACTATAATTTCTTGAGTCCTGAGATTCTTAATATACTTTATCTGGTCCGTTGGTTCTCAAACTTTAGGGCACATTAGTATCACCTGGAGGTATATACATATTGCCCCTCTATCCCTCCTACCTTGCTCCCCCCGGTCTCTATTTCTATAGGTCTGGGGTATAGCCTGAGAATTGCATTTCTAGCAAGTTCCTGGTTGATGCTGATGCTGTTTGTCAGGGGACCACACTTTGTGAACCACTGATCTAGTCCTTTCTCACAAACTTGGAGTAGGATACTTACGTGGAGAAGGAAGAGGAAGGAAATATAAATCTGGACAGACGGTGTTTCCCAAATCTTCCTAGGGTACTGTCTGTTCCTTTTTCCCTTCATATACCTTCATACTCCAACAGAGGCAATAGCCTTCAGTCTATGCAGACTGCAGCAAGGGAAAAAAGTAGCTGTTGACTGTGATGTTTTGTTTGTTTGTTTTTTATCTGCAGTTGTAGAAGTCATGTGAACAACATATAGTGTGTTTATTATTTTATTAATTTATATTATTGCATTTGTTCAAAGGAGCAGAGTGCCTTATTAGGTGAGACGTGGCATTTAATAAAATACTTTGAATGTACAAAATGAAGTGCTGAGCATTTCTAATATAAAAATGATGATGTTTTACTTTTTGTGAATTTGAGTTGGGCATAGTTCTAGTAGATTGGGTGTTTAGTGATATTATTTTGCATTTACAGACTTCATTTTTTCCCCAGAGATCTCAAGCTTAAGATGTGTGTTGTTTGCTATCTAACTCTGAAAAATCTCCTATGTTACAATCTTTGATATTTCAGCTATCTTTGCAAGAAGTTATTTATATCAGTCTTTGATTATTTAGCTTTTTAAATACATTACAACTTTATTTATTGTTGACCTACAGGTTTACCCAGAGAAGAATGACTGCAATGGTGCAGCGTCTTAGAAACCATGTTATTTGAGAAAATTAGAAGAACCAAAGCTTGTTTAGGAGGAAATGTGATAGTTTCATTTTGAAAGAGTGCCTTATAGGGAAGGGATTAGATTTTTTGCTTTTTAAATATCTTCTACTAATGTGTGGAAATTATAGAGAAGCAGATTATTCTTTGGCATAAGATAATTTTCCAAAAAATGTAATTGTCAGTCAGTAAATTATTACTTCTGTAGTCTGTTTGTTGCACTGAAACTTGCTAAGTGATCCAACTTTCTCTCACCAAATACTGTTGCTTTAAAAATTGTTTCCGTTTCCAGTTTCTTCTCTTCATTCCCGTGTAATCTTGCAGAGACCTGCATCATTTTTTTCTTGGACTATGATTTCCATGGATTTATCTCCTTGCTACCAGTCCAGAGTTTAATTTCTTTAGGTTCCTCTTCCCTACAGTGGTGTTTCAAATTTCTAGCCTGGTATACAAAGTTTTCATCACCCACCATTCACTTAACAATTTATTCATTAGATTTATTGAGTTCCTACCATGTATCAGGCTCCGTGCTCAACCCTGGAAATAATGGCAAACATGGCATGCTCCCTATCCTCACAGAGCTTTCCATTTAGTTCAAATTATTCTTTAAATGTCTGAGATTCAGGGGGCGAATATATTCTCTTCACTGCTTTCCTTCCTCTTCTGCTTCCCTTCCATTACTTGTTTCAATCACCGTGAAATACCAGGACCTTCATCTATGACTCCATTATTTTTGTACATATTGTTATCTCCCCCCTTTTTCCTAGCTAACTTCTGGCCTTCCTTTAAGACACAGTTGTACCATCCTTTGTTTCACATACCTCTGTCATCTGTCTCTAATAATTAGTAAATTATTTGCTTATTTCCGTTTTCTTCATTGGAGAGCAAAGCTCCTTAAGGACAGAGGTAATTTCTTATTTTCTTTGTATCTCATTGCCTAGAAAAGTGCCTGATAGTTACAGGGGTATTCAGTAAGATTCATTGCCTGAGGTCAAGAGGAATTTCTGCAATACTTAATAGCAGGGATTGAACACATTTCTCTCAGCGTCATTGAGATATGTACATGCTGTTTTTACCATGCTTTTTGTGGGGTATAGGTATTTGGGTTTTGTTTTGTTTTGTTTTTTTCCTCTTTTTTACACATAGCTTACTAGACAAGCATATAGTCATGATCTCTGTGGCAAAAATGGTGGCTCTGTTTAAAAGTACCCATTGTAAGTAATTTGATTAATTTTTTTTTTTCCTTTTTGTCTTTTTTCGTGACCGGTAACGGGATCGCAACCCTCGGTGTCGTGCCCGCACCGCGCTCAACCAGTGAGCGGACCGGTGTCAACCAGTGAGCGGACCGGTGTCTATATGGGATCCGAACCCTCGGTGGGAGTGCTGCCGTGTTCCCAAGCGCCGCACTCTACCGAGTGCGCCACCGGGCCGGCCCATGATTAATTTGTTAAATGATTGCTTGCATGCATCAAGAATGCTTATGGTGGTCGTTATGAAGCATTATTGTTTCTCTGCATGATATATAAAATACAAAAGAGAATGTTCCCTAGTCTAGATTTCTGAACACCTACTTGGACATGTAGATTTGAGCCAGGTTTAGGGAAATCACCTTATTTATTTATTATTTTTCATTCAAAATATTTTAACATTTACTTGTGCATATTTGTGGGGTACAGTGTGGTGTTTCATTATATGCAATATACATACTGCATAATGATTCCCTTGAATCACCTTAATAGATTTTAAAATAATCACTTCATAGTGATGTGACATTGAGTAGTAAACCTTTTGTGACTCAGTTTTCTGATTTGTATAGTGAAGATAATAGGGATGATATGAAGATTAAAAACCTTAAGACATGAAAAACCACATAAAACTGTGCCTGGGCGATAGCATCCTTTTGACAGCTACTAGTTCTTTTTCTTTAAAAACAGGAAGTGAATTAAATGCCTCAAAGATGTTTTTTTGCCCAAAGAGTCTCTGATAATTCTTTGGCTTATAACACCCACTATACTTTTTTTTTAACCTCTCCTGAGAGAATTGCTTCTAAACTGTTGAACGTAATAAAATGTTAAGTAATCCTTGACATAATGATTTTGTTTTTGCAGATGTTCTCAAATAGCGATGAAGCTGTAATCAACAAAAAACTTCCCAAAGAACTCCTATTACGGTAAGTCTGAATGCTAATTTTATGCTGGCTTTTTTGTGCATCTCATATTTACCTATTTAAAAACTTTTAGACTTGTTGCTAATTTTCATATAAGTGTAGTATCTGTATTAACTGAATTTTAAAATGTATTCTTTTATTAATCTTATTCTGCATTTCCTAGATATGAATCAAGATATTTGAAAGGTTAATTTAGTAGTAATTTTTCCCCTTCCATATATATATGATTTTGTTTACTAATTTTTCCCTTTTTCCTATTCTTGTATATAATGTGAAAAAGGTAGTGTTTTTTATCTATTGTATTGGAGAGTGGTTCTAATTCATTCCTTCCTCCCACTCCCCATTTACAGTATCAAACTGTGCCTGTGGACATTACATTTGGAACAGAGTATTACATATACTGAGCAGCTATATGGAAGAGTTATAGCCCTTTATTTTAAAAATAAAGCAAAAGTTAATTTGAAACATGTTCCTATATCACACTTATGGTTTTACCACCCTTATTTTTAACATGTAGTAACTACATTTTGGTATTTCCTGTAACATAAAACACACAGCGCCTAATTTACAGACATTTGACTTAGGAATCACCTAAGGAGAAACTGGCATCAGGGGAGTTATTTTCAGAGCCCCTGAATTATTTGGGCACTTAATCATAACATTCTTTGTTCATTTATGTACAATATCATGAGTGAGAAACAGAGATACATTCTCTTTTGCAAATGTTAGAACTTCACAAGTTACCGTGCTCAGGGGCATATACTGCAGTCTAGCCTATGATCCTTCCATGTCTGCTTCAGGGTAGAAAATAATCTCTGCTCTATTACTGGTAAAGAGGAGTAGTCCTGGCATTCTTTAGTATTTACACATCTGAGTCCTCCAACAGATTGCAATATACTTGTAAGCCAAGACTATATTACCCTGTAAATATTTGTGTCCTGTTAAATATCCTGTAAGTCCTATGAAATATCCTATATTTATATATCCTGTAAACCTTACACATTGGAGATGCTGAGAAAAAATAAGTGAATTGAACTTGGAATGCATTTTCCATGGTAGCAATGCATACTTCTCATCTGTAGTTCAAATAATACTATTTACCATTTGACTACACAAAGCCATTGGAGAATATCTTGAGTATTCCTGAAATTTCAGTGAAATTTTAGCCATCTTAAAGAGAAATATTTTTAAATTTATTGTTTACATTTTTAGTTTTTATTTATTTTTTTATTTTACATTCTGAGTTGTTGTCATAGGGTGGGGTCATGGGGCAGGGTAGCCCATGACTGGCTCCTTTGCTGGCCTGGTTGGTTGCTGGGTGGGAGAGGGAATGGAGGTGGCTGAGGCCCACGGTGGGGTGGCGGGGTGGAGGGCCATGGCTCAGGCCCTTGTAACTCACCTGGGTGCAGACGAGGGCAGCCCCCACCCCCTGGCTCAGGAGCCCGGGGGTTTGGGAAATATTTTTAAATAGGTTTTGTTGTTCGCTGTTACTGTAAACTGAGTGCACTAAGACATAGTTTAATTTTTTTATGATAGTGCCATTATTTGAGGCATTAAATATTATTTTGTACTATAGAAGTTTACTAAAGACTCACTAAGATTTAGGGAAATTACTTGACTCTGGTAACTGGCCCCACCCTGTTATGGCTTACTTTTTTATATTTTATTTCTTCTAGAGCTTTTTTGTTTTCACCACAAATTTCATACTATGGCTTGCAAGACTCCATGTACTCTGCTTTATATTTTTAAAGGATTAGTCTGGCTACTATGCAAAGACCAAATTGGGGGATAGGAGTGGGAAGCAATAGAAGTCTACTAAAGAAATCCAGTCAAGAGATTGAGAGTACTATGGATAACATTTTCTGTAATTCATTTTCTGTAATTCAAAAGCATTGCCCACCCTTGCCCTTTCTAGTTTTGTCACCATTTCTGATCTCACTGTAGTAAATTTTGATGAGCTAGAAGGTCTACAGTTAACAGACAGATGACATTGCAGGGGAAATTGGATGAAGAGAAATTCCGGAATCAACCAGCTTTTCCTACCACAAACAGCTCTCAAATCTCCGTGGCTTTTTCTCTAAGGCTGAGGGCAGGCACGCAGGAGACCAAGCTAGATTACCTAAGTGATTTTGGAGTTCTGCTTGTATGTGGCATACATCACGTCTGCTTACATTCCATTGCCCAAAGCAAGTCACACAGCTAAGTCTAACATTGATGGAGTGGGGAAATATATAGGGAAGGGAATGCGTTAATATATGTGAATAGTATTTTAACTTACCATATGTACATACAGCCCTCTATGAACCTTCTTTCCTTAATTCCGCCTGTCCTCCTCACTCTTCAGTATTGGTTACAGTGTAGAGTTATATAACTGTATTCTAGCACTACCTCCACCATTCAGCTTAGCACATTACCATGCCAGGGTTTGGGTGTAGGAAGTTACCATGAGCTGAGGGATTGGGAGAAGGAGGATATTGAAGAAAGAAGATATGTGCCTGACTTCTCAAGTTGCAACTCTGGAGGTATTTTATGTGTAGCAACATATTTTATCAATGACAGTTTAGTTCTAATTTACATGTGTTATATTGGACCTGACCCTTGTGTACATTATGAGTTAAATTGGCTCCTTTCTAAGCTAAGCAGGGAACCTAACTACCACTTATGATTTTGATGGGGAAATGAGCTTGAGTTGCTGACAACCAAATCTGAACTTAATGTTGGAAACAAGTTCCTTCCTAAATTGGAGACAAAGTGAAATTTATGTACTGGGAAGCAAGGAAACTGATTTGATACCATAAGCATACTACTTGTGAATACATTTAAATATTTAAAACAGTTGGTTTAAACTTTAAGTCATTAAAGCCAAATAGAAAAGAGGCTTTCTTGGTTTCTTTGACATTACACTAGACATTACACTAACAGTTGGTCATTGTAAATATTAATAAATTCAATCTGTGGCATTTGTAATTTTTAAAAATTCATTTTGTAATTTTTAATATTCACTTTAAAATTCACTGTAAAATTTAATATTCACTTTAAGTATATAGTATAAATTCCTTTTGGAAGATTGCAAACAGCAAATAATGTAACAGAAACTGGGTAGCTGGCAGACAGGAATACAAGAAAAACTTACTTTCATTATGCTTTTCTGTATCTTTCTTTGAGATGTTCTTATTTTTAAGTATTATTTTTAAGTATTTGAAATACTGTCATACTTAACACAAAAAGTTGTTAAAACAGGACAAAGAATTCAGGTATACCCTAGCTCCTCCAAGTATTAGCATCTTATATCTCAACAATATAGTTATGAGAATCAAATTAACACTGATACAGTGTTATTAACTAATCTACAGACATTTTTGAAAGTTCTCAATTGTCCCAGTAATATCCTTCTTCTGGCCCAGGCTCCAATCCAGGATTACACATTCCATTAAATTGTCATGCCTCCATAGTCTCCTTTAATCTGGGACACTTCCATAGTCTTAATTTTGATACTTTTTTTTTTTTTTTAAGATGACCAGTAAGGGGATCTTAACCCTTGACTTGGTGTTGTCAGCGCCATGTTTTTAAGATGACCAGTAAGGGGATCTTAACCCTTGACTTGGTGTTGTCAGCGCCATGTTTTTAAGATGACCAGTAAGGGGATCTTAACCCTTGACTTGGTGTTGTCAGCGCCATGCTCTCCCAAGTGAGCTACTGGCCATCCCTATATAGGGATCCAAACCCTTGGCCTTGGTGTTATCAGCACCACACTCTCCCAAGTGAGCCATGGGCTGGCCCTTAATTTTGATATTTTGAAGAGCATTCGTCAGTTATTTTATAGAATGTCTGTGTGTTAGTCCGTTTCTGTTGCTTATAACAGAATACCTGAAATGGGGGTAATTTATAAAGAAATGAAATTTATTTGTTACAGTTTGGAAGCTAGGAAGTCCGAGGTTCAGGGAGCTCATCTGGTGAGAGGGCCTTCTTGGTGGTGATTCTCTACAGCAACGTAAGGTGTCACATGGTGAGAATGGACTGAGCAGGGAAAGCTAACCTTCTCACTTGCTATCCTTATAAAGCCAGCAGAACCACACCCATTAAGCCGTCAACACATTACTCCATGAATGAATCAATCCATTCACGAGGGCATGGTCCTCAAGATCCAATCACCTCTTAAAGGCCTCGGTTTCCGCCACCATATTGGAGGTTAAGTTCCAACATGAGCTTGGGGACATTCAAACCACAGCATTGTCCTTCAGTTTGGCTTTGTTGTTTCCTTATAATTAAATTCAGGTTATGCATTTTGGCAAGTATATTATAGAAACGGTGTTATGCCCTTTTCCATGTATCATAACAGAAGGCATATGATGTCAGTGTGCTTGTTGCTGGTGATATTAACTTTGGTCATGTAGTTAAGATGGTGTCTTTCAGTTTACCCACTGTAAAATTATTTTTCTCTTTGTAATTAATAAATATTTTAACATCCATTGATGTTACCTGAAACAGTTAATACTATAGCATTTGCCAAGATTTTCTATTTGCACAATCCTTTCAACATTTATTGATTGGAATTCTGCTGTAAGGAAGAGCTTTCCTTTCTGTTCCATTTAGTTATTTATAGTTTAGACTCATGGATATTTGGTTTATTATGTTGTTACTATCATTACTTATTTTGTTGCTCAGCTTTTCTGTCTTTTTAGTTTGTGTGTGTGTGTGTGTGTGTGTCTTTTGAATTTCATACCATGTCTCTGTACTAGCTGTTTTTAAAAATACAATTTAGTAAATATACAGCCTTTTGGTTTGGTTAGATTTTCAGTTAAATATTACAGCATTCTATTCGGCATATATTAACCAACAAAAAGAAGAATTGTGTTAGGATCATACAAGTTCCTTGTATATGCAAGGCTACAGCCAAGCTACCAATGAATTAAGCAAGTGTTCTTGTTTCCATTTAACTTTAACTTATTTACTGATTCTCCTCCTTCCCTTTTGAAACAGAGTTTATTATTAATGGTTTAGCA